GGGTTAAGTAATACAAAAAAAAATAAAATGCATTTAAGGTGGAACTTGCAAAGATATATATATTACTATATAAGCTGGTATGCATAATTTAAAATCTGTGTGGTTTAGATAAAATCAGAAACAAATGTTTTAAAAATCCTTTTTCTTCTAATCTATTCAAATTGAATGTTGTATAATTAATGCATCCTAAAGGAAGAACCTTGATGGGCATCTTTAAAGAAACAAGATTTAAAGAAAACCTATAACATATAAACTTTTCTGCATTACTTTAAACTAATCTGAGTTGGACAGAAATAAACTGCAGTGTTGATAAATATGAAATACATGCAAACAATGATCCAGAAGTAAGGTTTTCTTTGTCTTTTATGTCACATTGGTTTATTTCCCTCTTCACAGGTCAGCACACAGTTTTCTGTTTGGTTCTAAAAAGCAGCATCATCTTTTGTCAGGTAGGATTTCATTAAGGTGAATAAATATCAATGAAAAGGTGATTGATTTCATATCAACCCAATTGGCATTTTACGTGTCCCTGCACCGCCCCAGGTGCTCCTTTAGACGCAAACTTTACCTGCAAATGAATCAAAGTGTCTCTCAAAGGTGGGCAGTTTGTCTACATAAGCATCATCTTCTGACAAGCCAAAGAGGAAACAAAGGGAAAACAGCAAAACAAACAAACAAAAAAAATTAAACAAAAAGTAGTAAAATAAGCATACAATCAAGCATTTAAATAAAAAAGGCAAAAATGAAATAAAAAGCAGCAGAAAATGCCACCGTTAAAAGCAGAGGAAGGAGTACTATTAAATAGACTTTGGATTTGTATCTTTTTAGACAAACAGCAATAATGAAATGTGTGTAAATTATTGGAAGATTGGAAATTACCTTTTAATCTCTATTATTGTTGCAATTCATTAGTGTCTGATTCAGTGAAGTTGTTTACAGTAGCTAGAGTCATAGTAAAACAAAAACACAAAACCCCAGTCAGTCTCAGCAGATGGCCGCTCACACTGAGCCTGGTTCTGCTGGAGGTTTCTTCCTGTTAAAAGTGAGTTTTTCCTCTCCACTGTCGCTACAAGCATGCTTAGTGTGAGGGTATGCATTTGAGTCAGTGAGTTGATGCAATCAACTGGTTTTTCTTAGATATAAAACTTTCAATCAATTTGACTGTATGATCTGGTTGAGCTGTAAAGTGCCTTTAGATGACTTGTGTTGTGAATTGGCGCTATATAAATAAACTGAACTGAATTGAAAACTAGCTATTATGGCCTCATAAAATGATCTAATTATAACCTCCAAAAAATCCCATAAAGAGACATTGATTCCTCTTTGTAATTACTTGGTGAAAACAAACTTTGTGGATTAAACTCATGCCATACTGCAGTCACAAACCCACATGAATTCATACACCGATATGCAGATCAGATGGTAGCTTTGGGCCTTGTTGCAGGAGGAAGTTAGAACCAAACCTACAACTTTCCAAATGATTCTCAATCTGAAGAGGAACAGCTGTGTGTGAAAAACTGAGTTACATCCAGACGGATTAAAGAGGAAAAAGTAGCAGTCTGTTAATGCTAAGAAAATACACACCAGCAAGTGTGACCTACAGTAAACATCAGGTTTTAATATTTTGTTTAACTATACAGGTGTTTGTTATGAATAACACCGATGATAAAGAACATAAATAATGACCCTAGAGACGCAATAGTAAGTAGACTGACATTAATCTGGTTATAAACCAATATTTGTCTAATGTAAAGCCAACATGCAAGTTCAAACGCTTAGAGAAATCACAAAACGTCCAAAACCTCCATCAAATATTCAGCCAGCCTCAGTTGGCATGCTAAATGCTGAAGCTAATACCTAAAACTTAAAAAATAATCACAGCAATATGTTATGTTTGGGCGGTTTCTTAAGAAAAAGCTTCTTCTAACAGAATATTACTAATATGCACCAGACTGAACCGAGGAACTTCCAGCTAAATCTGTTTAATATGGAGGATAGAACTAAAATACTTTGCTGTAACACACAGCAGTTACAGAGAAAGTCCAACAGGTCATATCATCATAAACATCTCATATCAACTGTAAAGGAAGCAGATGAGGTGGTGAATGTTTGGGTTGGTTTTGCAGCCACTGAACCAGGGCACATCTGCAATCCAGTCTCAACTATACACTCTTCAAAAGCATTAAATTATTAAAGAGACAAATGCGAGACCATGTATCCGACAGCTAGCATTTGGACCTAACTAGGTGATGAAACAGAAAAACAATCTGATACGGCAGAAAATGAAGAACAGAATGGCTGACAAGGAAAATCAAAGGTTACGAGGGCTCAATACGTCAACAGTGGGATGTTAAGAAAGAAATGTAAACCTCAATAAATTGACACAATTTGGTAAAGAGCCGTGAGTAACGGCGATGAAAGATCTATGAAAGAAAACATTGTTAGTGCATTGGGTGTACTTAGTTTTTAACACACAGCTTTTCCACTTTGGTTTAACCCTTATTTCATGAGTTATTATATAGTAGAATATATGATGTGCTGATTCACACTTAGGGTGCATAATATATGAAATGCTTTTAAAGCCTGGTAAATATCCAATCCTATATTTTCCTAATTATGATTTCTAAAACACTGTATTTCAAAGGCTGGGTACTTTCTTCTAGAAACAGGTCCTTGAGAAAAAAAATCCCCCTTCAATCAGCGATTTTAAAAGCTCCATGGTGTTTATAATTTTTTCATCCAATGACTCAGCCATGTTAAAGCCCACTAAGATTAGCTTTTATCTACTCCTAACTCTGCACTGCGGGCTCCTCTACGTGTTAGATCAGGGAATATAAGGTGTTTGGCTGCTAACTCATTCGAGAATGTATATGAGTGAAAACCAACACCCTGCTTCGTAATCCCATGTACCACTCATGTTCTGCAAGTTGGCAAACATGAAAAATAATCAACCCAAATGCTGGTGAAGATTCTCAGTCATCCAGGTCATAGTCATTCAAAAAAAAAGGGAATGAAAAACAATCCACTGGACTTTGTTTCCAAGTTTGAAAATGTTTCGCTTCCCATCCAAGAAGCTTTTTTTTTAAAAACAATAAAAAATGTCAGGAATAGCGTTGAGTTCGAGGCTTTAAAGAGTAGCCCAACAAATCCTTGTTTGTGTTTTTAAAACATGCAAATTGAAACAGAAGAAATGGTCCACCACTTTGGAATGGGGGTCGTTTGGCTTCTTTTGTTAGCCTGCAATGCCCCATACCCGGCTAACGCCCGGCATACACTGCGATTTTTTCAATCGTTGCACGCAGCTCCAGCTCACAGCTTATATTCGGCTCGACGCTCTGATGCGATCTACCTGCTCACACTGTACGTCTAAAAACCACGTCGGACTCAGCTCCGCAATGAGATGGAGCTACACAGACTCGTCTATCCAGAAGCCAAACAAATAGAAAGGGGAATATTCAGCTCACTAGAGTGAAATTTGTGCAATTTTGTCCTGAAAGCCTTTTTTTTAATATACTGACTGTGCAATATATGTGAATATAATAGTCATACCACTACCTCACCGTTGTTCCTTACCTACTACACTTTAATGTAAAAGTCAATCCACCTGTATATAAGCCATCCTGATTGTACATATGTCACCTCAAATCTCTGTGTTACTCCCTTGTATTTTTTTTTTTTATCTTTTATTTTTTTTTATTTTCTTATTTTTATTTTTATTTTAATTTATATTCCTAATGCACCTTTTTCCTCCTGGTTTGCACCTTCTTTAATTACTATGCTAATACTGTATGTGACCAGTGAATTTCTCCGGTGTGAGATCAATAAAGCTCATCTAAACTAATCTAATCTAAAAAGAAAAGGTGACAACGTGTTTGGAAAAAGATATGGCTGAGCAAAAGTGGCTACTACGGTCTGTCAATTGTACAGAAAGAATTCCATTTCACTCATTGCATCCCTGCCATACTGCTGTGTTTACATCTGAGAGGAAGAAAAAAAAGAAAATCCTTGTCTGTGGATGCCCACTGAGCGATTAGCCCACAACGGTCGGGAGAAAATCAGAAAACCAAACAGGTTTGATTTTCACCCAACCTCACGATTCCTGATCGGGAGGTGGTCGTGAGATGCTTATCGCCCCCCCTTACCCCCTTTACACTAAACGATGAACGACTCAAGAGCAGGCTGAAAGTCGGCCCGATAAAAAAATTCGAAAGACTGGAAAATCCCCCCCAAAAACCGCAAAAGTGTACACCCAGCTTAGGCCCCGTCCACACGAAGCCAAACCCTGGCCTAAACGCACAAATTTTTCACCAAACCAGCCTCTCATCAATACGAAGCCGGCGTTTCGGGGGTCTGTAAACAATCTTTTTTTTATTCAGCCTTCAGAGTGGGAAGATTTTGAAACGCCGTTTTCGCGTTTCCATCTTTAAGCTCTAACCGCATTTTTTTTTTTTTTTTACGCATGCGTCATAGAGTCGCCTCTAAACACGCATGCGTGACACAGTATCACAACAACAATGGCGCCGTACTGTGTTGAATGGTTGCTGCTAATGCTACTCACCCTGCTGTCGGGCTTACAACAGAATCTTCTTCTTCTGGAATATCTCCAGGAAGAACAGAGCAATATCGACGACATAGTTTAGCACCTGAATTTGACTGAACCACGAAAATGGACCCGCAGGGCAACCATGTATAAATGTTAGTGCGCATGCCCAACATTTCGTCGCCTATTTATGCTTTGGCACCACAGCGCCACTTACAGGCCTGGCATACATTTTGCAGCGTTTTCATGGATTCGTGTGGACGATCACATTTATTTTACATCTCCGTCTTTACGACAAACGTTCTAGAAAATATTAGCGTTTCATGTTCGTTTATGCTCTAAAAACATTCTAAATGACTTCGTTTCGAGTAAATTCTGGATGCTACCCACTCAGGACACTTGGAATACATTGGACGAGCAGTATGGAGGAATATTGACACGTTTTTTGTGGACTTTTATGGACCTTTCTGTCTCGGTCACCATAGACCTCCATTATTTGAATGTCAGCAGACAGCAAGAAGCCTCCCAGATCTCCAGATGCATTTGAGATATCAAAAAAGTACTCCAGAGTGTTGTTCAGCATGGGGGTGAGTAGAAAATGAAGGCTAATCATGTTTTGGGTGTACTATTCCTTTAAGTGTCTGAAAGGGAGGTCATCAGCCAGGCCAACAATACCTTTTAACGACCCCCCCTTTCAGACACTTAGGACACTGTAGGCTCATAAAAGAAGCCATGCAACCCCAAAGTGGTTGACCTTTCACCCATTTCACTTTGCATGTTTTAAAAAACAAAAGCAAGTCCAGTGCATTGTTTTTCATTTTCTTATTTTTGGAATTAGCCAAAATCACACCAGATGATTCTCAGTAAAGCATTTCTACTATGAAAATGTCACTTTTTTTCACTTTAACTTAAACACAAAAAAGAAAGAAAGGGGCAAATAACTCAAGCAACAAAGAAATGAGAAAAAGCAGGGGTTGAGTTCAAAAATAAATAAAAAGTTTAATATTACAAAAGTACAGCTGAGAGCTAGTTGTTTTTAGCAGAACCTTCAAGCTGCAGAGCTTGTTCACACACCTGACACAGAAACACACAACTCCTTGCTGACAGTTGGTGTGGTGGCGGCACTCAGGGAGTTGGTGGAGGAGATTGAGGAGGTGCTCTCGGCTCGCGCCAACGGGGCAATGGGAGGGGGACTAGCTGAGTGGATTGGTGGGCTGAAAGGCCGACTCTAAAAATATCCACAGGAACAAAACAAAGGAGAAAAATCAGCTTTTTGGTGAAAACATTAATGGGGTTCTGCTTTAATCAAAATATAAAAACATGTTTCGCTCCTAATATTTCAAATCCAATGGATTCTTATTTACAACAGAAACCAATTAATTAAACTACTTCTAACTTGGTTAATAACTGGTTATAAAAAAACTTAGATCTTACCACATCTCCCACAGAAGGTTTTCCAGGAGGAAGTTTGGGTCGCGAAGGGGGGCGAGGCGGAGGTGGCGGTGGGGTTGGATTGACTGATGACGGAGTGGAAGGTCTGACAGGTGAGGAGGAACCTGCAGATGACATACACCAAGCAAAGGCCCAAAATTAGTTATGTAAAAAGATATAAACAATGACACTGATTTATATTTCTAATAAAGCTAATTAATTTAGATGAACTCCTGGATGCTGTATATAAACAGGGAAAGGACAGCCTACTGCACATTTATTTGCAAACTTAGCAAAGAGACACTTAGTTACAAAATTGGAAAGTAATGGAATGTCACACTGATAAAAAAAAAATCAAACCTTTAATCAGTGCTTCAGTCTTGGGCGATGAAATTATCACTATTGCAAACCAAATATTTATAAAATATTTAAATCTGAAATTATTTGGCAAACTAAATTCCTAAAGTACAAATACCATTAAATAAGCTAAACAGCATAAGAACTTAACTAGTCATTTATTAATTTAATATATGTACTATTTTTAACATAAAATAAGGCCTAAGACTCTCTAAGCTTCTCTTCAATCCAGAAAACAATCTGGAACTCTGAAAAAACTAAAGATGGCCGACAACGATCGTTACTATTTAAGAAAGCAAAGAGGATTGAAAGGGAAATAATATATCTTTTTCTAGAGCTCTTTAAGTCAAAAAGTCTTCATCTCAACCATAAAACAGCAGCGGATTGTTTCATTCTCCTATCTTCACAAACGGCAATTACTGGAGTCTGCTAAACTTTGCTCACTATATATGTGGAAAAGCTCCTCTTGTGCACTGATCATTATAGAGAAGTTATTAGATCATGTTGGCCAGTTTCTCTTCCAGAAGTACATCATCATCATATCTATGTTGGAGATTTAAATCCTTTAAAAAAATCTTTGGAGTGACAGAGAGAAGCGTGCACACGACAGGAACCATGATGCTGGATGATTTATAGCGATGGTTTGGAAGAGGTTGAACAGTTTAATGATAGAAAGGTTCAAAATGTGACATCAGTGATTTAGTAACAGTTACGTCTTTATCGTTGGGATGTTTCACTTCCAAAATACATGTGCACAAATTAAAGATAGTATTTTCCAAATCATTCCGTGTAATATTAATTCATTTTAGAAATATGTGGAAATGTATCTGTGAAAATACTTATTACTCCAACAAACAAGATGTATTATGGTGGTGAAGATTCTCAGTCATCCAGGTCATAGTCATTTAAAATTGAAAAAGCTTCCTGGATGGGAAGTGAAACGTCTTCAGACTTCGAAACAAAGTCCAGTGGATTATGCTGATGAAGATTCCCAGTCATCCAGGTCATAGTCATTCTGTAAAAGTTTAAAAAACATTCCGTAAAAGTTTAAAAAAACAATCCACTGGACTTGGTTTCCAAGATTTGAAGACATTTCACTTCCCCTCCAGGAAGCTTTCTTAATTCAAATATGAATTAAGAAAACCAAGTCCAGTATATTGCTTTTTAAACTTTTATGGAAGTCCAGTAAATTGCTTTTTTAACTTTTTTGGAACACTGTTAAATATCTGCTGTATGCACCTTGATGCTGTATCTCTCCGGTTCATTTTCCTGAAAAGAGATCACTGTGCATCCAAATCCTTTAATTTGTTTAAAAAAGTGCAACATTGTTCTGGTCAACGCACTACAACAAAGTATTAGGGCCAGGCTAGAGATTTTTTTTTCTTTGGAGAATAAAGTCGTAACATTACGAGAATAAAGTCGTAACATTGCGAGAATAAAGTCGTAACATTGCGAGAATAAAGTCGTAACATTATGAGAATAAAGTCGTAACATTGGGAGAATAAAGTCGTAACATTATGAGAATTAAGTCGTAACATTATGAGAATAAAGTTGTAACATTATGAGAATAAAGTCGTAACATTGCAAGAATAAAGTCGTAACATTAGGAGAATAAAGTTGTAACATTACGAGAATAAAGTCGTAACATTGCAAGAATAAAGTCGTAACATTGCCAGAATAAAGTCGTAACGTTGCGAGAATAAAGTCATAATGTTGCGAGAATAAAGTCATAATGTTGCGAGAATAAAGTCGTTACGTTGCGAGAATAAAATTGTAACATTGCTAGAATAAAGTCGTACATTATGAGAATAAAGTCGTAACACTATTAGAATAAAGTCGTAACACTATTAGAATAAAGTCGTAACATTGCGAGAATAATCGTAACATTGAGAGAATAAAGAATTAATATTACAAGAATTAATATGTATTTTATCACAACTCTTACAAGGAGCACCTTCTTCCCCAAAATGAGGAATGTCGAGTATCATGTGAAGTTATACTTTGGCATCGGTTTCAAAATAAGAAAATCTTTTAGCACATCAGCTTCTCGTAATATTACGACTTTATTCTCATACTGTTACGGCTTTATTCACCTAATTTTATGACTTTCTTCTCATAATAAATAAAAACAAATCTCTAGTCTGGCCCTAATACTCTGTCGTAAAGCACAGTCAGAACGCTGCTGTTTAAATTTTAAAAAACTTTTCTGGGCAAGTGAAATATTTTTATCCTTGCAGTAAAAGTCAGAGGTGGTCTTTGAAACAAAAAAAATGTATTTGTTTCTGATATAAAGGATAACACAAAGATCAAAGATGACTGCAATATTTCCAAGGCTAAATAGATGCTTTATAAAAAGCTGAAAAACTAATCATAACTCAGAAAAAAACAAAGTAATCAGCAAAGATCTTGTGGCAAAAATCATATTCTATATTCACCTGGGCCTAAACCTCCCCCTGGAGACACCTGTTTTTCAAGTTTTATCACAAAGGTGCAACCATTCACCCTATTAGGGTGACCCTCCAGCAGAGCTCTCCTGCTGAAACACCAATATCTTGAATTGCTGTTTCTAAATGCATCACAACTTTTTTATTTCTACCCAACATACACTGTATTTTATTTGACAGATAACTTCAGGAAGTACTCACCACTGTTTGTGCCACCTGCTCCAGTTGTGGGACCCGGTGATGACACTACTGCACGGTATGTTGGAGGAGGTGGAGGAGGTGGTGGTGTGCTCCGACTTCCCTGGCTGGCATCTTTGGGAGAGGTGGCTGCTTCTTCCCCTCTTTCCTCTTTGGGATGAGAGGCGTTTGTGTTCTTAGGCGGCTCCTCTTGAGGGAGAACAAGAGGTGGTGGGACTGAGCAAGCAGTGGGTTCCTCAGACGGTGGGGTCACCACAGCAGAGGTGCCCTGCTTTGGGGCTGGGACTGGTGGGACACCGACCGGTGAGCTGAGAAGAGGAGGAGAGGATGCTGGAGGTGATGTCTGCTCCTTTGATGCAGGAGAGGGTAAGCTGGCAACTATGGGTGGATTTTTATCTTCTGGTGAAGAAGGGCTTGATCGGACAGGAGGAAGAACGGGCTCTTCTGATGGAGGCGGGGAGGTTGGAAGAGGAGGAGGTGAGTCTTCTTTTGGAGAAAGAGAGCTTGGCAGAGAGGTAAGCGATATAGGCAGGGGGGGAGCAGGGGATTCAGAGGAAGGTGGGGAGGCCGGTGGTGGAGGCGCTGGTTCTTCAGGTGGGGGTGGGGAGGAGGGCATCTGTGGTGCAGGTTCCTTTGGTGCAGGTGGTCCAGCAGGAGAATGTTCACTGAAGCAGACCCACTTTTCCTCTGCTGCTTCGCCAGCAGAGGGAGCATCCTCCGGTCCAAAGATGTTGTCCAGGTCTGCTATGGACGGCTTCCTGCTTGTGCTGCCGGCATCTGCTGCTGCTGCTTCTAAAACAGAAACCATATATCAAGAAATAATACTGTTCTAATTTCCCTTTATTTTAAATCAATGATTTTTAATCAAAATTTCAATACATTTGATATAAGTGTTATTATTATATATTTCTTAATAATTCTGTAAAATCACTTCATATTAAATGTTTTTGTGCAAAAACGCTCCATTAATAAAATACTTAATTAATTAAATTAATCAAACAAGTAAGTAAGTAATTAATACATTTTTGGCAGTGAGTCATAGTAGGACTGAAGTTAGTTTTTATGGAAATTAGGATGAAAAAGAGGGAGTATTCACCTGCGATGTCTTCAGAGGGAGCTCCGGTTGTTGGGGGGGAGGTTGGAACATTCTTGGGTGGAAGTGGAGGAGGACCTGAACAAAAAAGTAGAACTCTTTAAAACTCTTACTGATGCAGCAATCCTGCAAAATCATAACGTCAATCTGTTGATATTTTGTGAAAAAACCCAAATAAGATTAAAAGCACACTGGTTTCCATGAAACTTTAAAGTGGAAATGAAACAGCTAACAAAGTTATGAGATTATTTCCTACTGATATGAATAATTATTTAACAAATGTCAAAAGTTTTTTTAATTGTTATTATTATTTATAATTATTTTTGGCAAGGGTGCCGCCATGTTGCAGTACTCCAAAGGGTGAAGTTACAGGATTGGTTGATTATTCAGCTAGCCATTAAATACTTTCGGAAATACCTTACAACAGTTAAACACTTTTGGAATTTGGTATGATGGAAGACGAAGTTGAAAGGACAATGAAGCACATTAATCCCATTGCTTATGCTGTTGAGCCCATTAGGTGGGTGACTTGAGCCATAGTAAGGAGAGAAGAGGCAGCTGAAGAGCCTTGGGTTCTGACTCTCCTTGTTACCTGACAAACGTCTGCTACTTTACATCATCTCTACAACCGATGTTCTGAGTCTGGTGATCTAGCGGCCCTTTGGACAGCTAGATGAAGCCTGAAGCTGCGCCGAGTATTTTTAAATTCACTGCCTATAAGCTGGGCTTTACTGACCAGCCAACAAACTCTGACTGCGTGTCATCAGCAACAATCAGTTGTAATGACAGGAGACGAAAAAACAGGCAGAGCAGAGACATGTAAAGTTATGTTGAGTCATACGGCAAATGGGCTCCAATGCATAAGCAATTGGAATTAGACACCAGAGTATCCTATAAAGTCGTAGGGAAGCGGCTGTTCCAACTGTTGCATTTCCGAATTCTACCGAGTGGTGCCCGACTTTACACGTGTGAATAAAGTGAATGTGATTGGTCGTTTATCAACGGGGCGGGATTGTTGTGATGGAAGGTTCGCAAGCAAGTTTAATTGTGGCCGGTGTCTCGGAAGCATCTTGCTAATCGCTTAGCAACTTAGTGCTAGTAGGTTCCCAACAGGAAATAACCCTGGGACCAATTAGCACTAAATTGGTGACTTAGAAACGACACTGTCAAGGAACGCTATGGACAGTGGAAACATGCAAGAGGAGGAGAGTTTTGTGTCGGAGGTTGAGGATGAGTCTCCTCCGTCATACATTTCTTATTTAGAGGACACCAGGGCAGCAGAAGCTTGGTTTGGTGTAGAAGGCTTCCAGCCGTACATGTTTGAACCCTTGCCTCGCAACGCTGCCAGTTCTGTTAGCTCTACTTCTGCCGAAGACACAGACATCCATTCCCGTTAACACTGGGACGGAACTCAAAGGAAATGATTCTTATTTCAACCGTTGCGTATATTAGCTGCGACATATGAATCAAGATTCTATGACTGAAAAAAACTTGATTGACAGATGACCGTTGATATATGATTGGCTGAATTTACAAGCTGACGAATATTACCTGGTCTGCATAAAATACCGGGGGGAAATAAACACAGATTTTAAGACAGGATTTTTTTTTTTTTATAGAAATTTTCAATTTCTTTTCAAACATCAATCTTTGTACTAAAATATTCTTACTGTCATGATTTGTGGAGATTAAGATCTAAAGAGACGCGTCATCTCCTGTTCAGACCCTGTAATTCAGTGAAAGGGTGGAGTCAGAGTAAAAAACGATGCAAGAGGGGATAACTACAGTGGCTGGAAGTTGGCGAAGGTTTTATGGTTGTGAAGTATTGCTGGTATTTCCAATGTATTCAACCCTGTGATGTCATCGCTTGGATTGCTGAAACATGACGGCACCGTGGCAAAAAAAAAAAGATAAAACAATGCTAGGTTCATACTTTGTATATATATATATATATATATATATATATATATGTATACACACACTATTCTTATGAATTAAGTTAGTTTGGTTAATCATTTAATTTCCACTTTAAGCTGAATGTCACACCTGTCAATAAAACATCATCACTCTTGACAGGTAAACAACAAAACCATCCATCATGCGACACAGAACTTTAATATTCAGTCACCACCATGCCGAGTGCAAGGGTAGGGCAGCAATGGAGGGAAGGTTTGGTGCAAAACCAATACAGAACCTCTTTCTGTATGATAGACATGACACCCAAAAATAAAGGCTGATGAAATGAAACAGGAAACAAGCCTTTGTTTAGAGGGACATGGAGAGGATCATGGCCGCACGGCTGTTTGATCAGGACTGTTTGCAGGGTCTGTTTGTTTAGTCAGATGATGAGGGAGCTCATGTGGTGAACTGGTATGTTTCTGCAGTCATTCAAGGCATACGAGGAGTGGAATAATGAAACTTACTTCCTGTGGGGAAGGACCTCGTTAAAGAGGATTCAGGCTCTGGGAGAGAAGTCCCCCACACATCGGGCTCAGAAAGAACCACTAAGTCCAGGAGGGGACACAGAAGGTCAAGTGAAGCAAATTAGTACCACATTAAAAGGTTTCCCATCCCTTTTAAATATATACTTTGTGGGAAACAATCAAAGGTCAGCTAGTAATGAAAGCCTTAAATACAGTAATTAAATCTGCTAACAGACAGGAAGTGTCAGGCAGCTGGGAGGAAAGAGACAAGTTGACAAATATGAACAAACCACACAACAAAAAGGCTGAGTCATATACTGGAGCAGAGCATCATGTTCATCCCTGAAGGTTGATTTCTTTCTAGTGGTTGTATTTATAGTACAAGAGGTCATCTTTACATGTGAATCAAAGTAAAGGTATAGTTAAAAAATGTTGAATATTATCAAACAGTTCAAGGTGAAGCTTATGATGCTCGTAACTTACTGATCGTGTGAACCTAAAATGTACTTTCTCTAAAAATTAGATTGTTAACTGGATCAACAGCAAAGGATTTTCATCCTTATGCATGGGACTGAAAAAATGTATTGGATTAATCGTAATTAATCAATTATTGAAATAATCCTTAACTTATTTAGTAATCGATTAATCGTTAAATTGAGTATAGAGACTTTACAACATGCGCTTAGCTGACAGAGCAACCAGTATCTGTCAATATGCTCCAGAACTCCTGAAGTGGAAAAGTTTTAGTTTCACCTGGTTTAATTACACAAAGTCTTCTTTAAGGAGCCTTTTGCTATCTGATTATTATTTAAAAAAAATAATCGACAGATTAATAGATTTGCAAAACAATAGTTAACATGAATTACTTAATGTAGATTGGTACGAAGGATCTGAATTATAATGGAAACATATGTTGGTGTGAACGTAGCATTTAGGTCATTAGCGTTGTATAGTTTGGCGTTTGTCATCTTCCTACTGATCATTATAGCTTCTCTATGGGGTTCAAGTCAGACCAGAGTCCTGGGCAATCAATCACGGTAACACCACTGTCATGGAAGCAGCTTTTAGCACCTTTAGCATGACAGGCAGGTGAATCTGAACGGCTATATTTACTGTGCACTCAGAGACAGAGTGGGCTAAATGCAGCAAATGACATTGCACCCTAAATCATCACTGACTGTGAAAACCTCACACTAGACTGCCGTATTACTCCAGACTGTTTATTGTAAATTCCAAATGAAATCCAAACTTCACTTTCATCTGAAATTAGATAAGGACATTGGACCATGAGACAAGGATTGGCTCAGGTTCAATTTATAATTTTTGTCTTTGCATTGTGACTTCAGCCTCAGTCGTCTCCCCCAAACTATTACATTGATTGAGCTAAAAAATTCCCTCAAGGCAAAAATAAATTCAAGTTACAGTTGTTTTTAAAGGAATAGTACACCCAAAACATGATTAGCCTTCATTTTCTACTCACCCCCATGCTGAACAACAC